AATTACATAACGCGTGCCAAGATTTTTGCGAAAAATCTAGACATTTCTACACAAAATAAAAAAAATACCGTTTATCTAATCGTTCTCTTACCATCACACTGAAACTTTACCATTCCCTACCTTAATTCATTGGAAAAACCGATTTGCCATCTTATTGAAGTGTTAATTCCCTACACCGAATCCTTTTGCACAAGGAAATCTATACCTATCCTTATACATAGGAAATTCGGGCGCTGAAAAAACTTACCATCAGAAATTTATCATCTGAAACCTGCTATCCTAATTAGGAAACCGGAAGCCGATCCAGCTACCGTGCGGAATAAAAATAGAGTTACATAAAATTTTCCGTCGCTCGAACGGTTCCCTGAAATTTAGACCCTCCAAATAGATAAATGCTTATTAAATTTTCTTTTCTGATACTATCAGAATAAAAACGGTTAAGGGTCAGAAAAACGATAAACAACGCCGACTTATTGTATTAAAATTATTCCAATTGGCTTTTCAGTCTCTGAGAAATGATCAAAAACGCGTTAGCTGAATTGGATTTTTTTCACTAGCTATATAGGTTCTCAGGGTTTTTTTGCAATTATTTCGGAAAAAGCTTAAAACTTATTTGAAGCGGGCGCTGTAGCCCTGTACAGTACTGAATAATCAAAAAACTGGACCAAAATTGGTTTGGAAACAAACATTTTGCCAAAAACTATTGCATTTGCACTCTCCGATTCATTCATTTTCCGATTTTCACGTCTCTATCTCTATCCACGGAGCTATTTGGAGGGTTCAATTTTCAACAATGATCCAAAATTTGTTCTTATTATCAACGTGAAAAACTTCTCAGAGATTGTAATTTTTGTACAAGTTTTGGTTAATCATAAAGAAAAAACTAAAGAGGAGAGGGAATACTAGAGTTTGATCTAGAACTTCCAATAAATACTGCTCTTTTTGTTCATTTGAAGTGAGACTTTTAGATGAATTCTCCTCAAATTGGACAAAAGACCAAATAATTACACAAACGGAAGGATAAAAATGGAAAACTATGGATAGATTTGGTTAATTTTCACTTTCTCGAAAATTACGATTAATTGATTTATTTTCCCGAGAAATCAGCAGTTTCAATAGTGATTTGGCTAATATGAGCTTGATATGTTCAAAGCATTATATAAACCAATTTTTAGCTCAAGTTAGGGTAAGATTTATCGTATTTCAATATTTTGAAAGAAAAAAAGTGGAAAAATCTATAATTTTATTGAAAATTTTGTATCTCTGCCTCAACATGATGTCAATTAGAAAACAATTTGAGCTTAGTTTTTAACTCTAGACCTATGCAAATTTCTTCAAATAAATCAGTACCAACCAAGAATTAGGGAAAAAACTTCAGATTTATGCAACTATTTCCAATTTTTGAATTTTTGCAATTTTCTCCAAAAAATTTGAAATTTTTGCAGTTTTTTTCCAAAATTTTGATTTTTTTTTCAAAATTTCAGTAGGCTTCAGCAAAAATTCAGCTAAATTGAGTACTGTTCTGAAAATGAGGATCATCTAATTAAAAAAATTATTAAATCAAATTACCACAAATCTTATCGTGTTTTGAAACTTTTTGAATAAAACTTCAATTTATTTTAAAAAAATCCAAGTTTTTGCTCATCTTATCATTGACTTACTATAAACAAAAAAGCTTACATCTTAATTACACAATCTACATAATTTACTCATCAATTACATAAAGCGTGCCAAGATTTTTGCGAAAAACTTAGACATTTCTACACGAAATAAAAAAAACACCGTTTTTCTTATCATTCTCTTACTATCACACTGAAACTTTACCATTCCCTACCTTAATACATTGGAAAAACTGATTCTCTATCTTATTGAGTTATTTATTCCCTACACCGAATTCTTTTGCATAGGGAAATCTTTACACTATCCTTATACACGGGGAAATTCGGGCGCCGAAAAAAACTTGCTATATGAAATTTACCATCTGAAACCTGGTATCTTAACCAGGAAACCTATTCCCTATATTAATACAAAGAAAATGCATTCCTTATCTTAAAACATTAGTTCGTGAGTGGATGCTCTGTTCTCTATTTTAATAAATAGGAGTCACCAATAAGCCCCCCCCCCTTCTCCTCACTCTTTGATTGAAAAAGTTTCTCTAAATAAACATTTACTTAGTCGAGAACTCTATTTTGGACAAAATCAACGTCCTAAAAAATGAGAAAAAATAAAGGTATGCATCTTTTTCAACAAAAAGGAAATCACACGGAATTATTTTTTTCTTGTAGAGCAACTCGAGGAAGTTCAAATGTTTTTTTCAATTGACATTTTTCAAAAATGATTATTTTTGATCCAAAGTTATGTCTAGAAACTGCAAATTTCTGTTTGGTTGATTTTTTGAAGTGCTTGAATTTCTAGATTTTCTCCCTACTTGGACAAATGCGTGGTTGGTGACGTCAATTTATTCAAAGAATGACGTCATTACCATAGAAGAGCCTATGAAACAAAAGTTGAAGATAAGGAACATCACTTCGATTATTGTTTTGAATTTGATACAAATGCAAAATCTAGATTTGTCACAATATCCTTTAATTGATTATCAAAATTCAAAAGACTTCCATTTGTTTAAATTACAATATACCAAAAAAAGTGATATAAATTTATTGGTATTTTTTTTTTCACTGGTTAGAAATAGAACAATTCGACAAGTTTTTGATCTCTTAACTTGTTCAAAAAACTCAACGTAGAAAAATCAATTTTATAATCACAATTTTCACACGGAATTTTGAATGCTTTTCATTAGCACCAGTTCTTTCTATTGAGGCTTTTTTGAGGAAAATTCCGACATAAATTAAGAATCAAAATCGATTTAATGACTATTTCGCAAAAAAAAGAGATAGTTCATGATCGCAAAAGTTGTAATTTTGCTTAAATAGTTTAATGTTGGAACTGCACAAGGGATCCTACAGGAGAACATGTAAGAATTCAAATAATCATCTGACCTTATCAGTTCTATTTTTATCTCTGCCAACAAATTGTTCGTTCAGTTGATTCCATTTTCCTCCTAGTTTTACTAGTTCTGACTAAGTTTTTTGCAAAGTAATTTCAATAGCAAAAACATTTTAAGCGGAAAGCAAGAAAAATCCTAAAACAAAGAAACATTTTACGGAAAATTTAAAAAAAAAATTGATATAGAAGCAACAGAGGGATATCATTAGTTTTGAAAAAAAATTTTGTCGAACTTCATCCAAACTATATAATTTTGAAGAACAATTTAGCCCATTTTTAGTCAATTCTAGCAGTAAAATGTTCATTTTCCAACAATGATCCGAAATTTGTTCTTATTATCAATGTGAAAAACTTCTCAGAGATTATAATTTTTGTACAAGTTTTGGTTAATCATTAAGAAAAAACTGAAGAGGAGAGGGATACTAGAGTTTGATCTAGAAATTTCAATAAATACTGCTTTTTTTGTTCATTTGAAGTGAGACTTTTATGTGAATTCTCCTTAAACTGGACAAAAAACCAAATAATTACACAAACGGAAGGATAAAAATGGAAAACTATGGATAGATTTGATTAATTTTCACTTTCTCGAAAAGTACGATTAATTGCACTATTTTACCGATAAATCAGCAGTTTCAAAATTGATTCAGCTAATATGAGCTTCATATGTTCAGAGTGTTATATAAACCAATTTTTAGCTCAAATTACGGTAAACTTTATCGTATTTCATTATTTTGAAAGAAAAAATGGAAAAATCTATAATTTTATTGAAAGTTTTGTATCACTGCTTCAACATGATGCCAATTAGAATACAATTTGAGCTTAGTTTTAATTCTAGACCGATGAATTTTTTTTTCTCAAATAAATCAGTAGCAACGAAAAACTAGGGAAAAAACTTCAGATTTATGCAATTTTTTACAATTTTTTGAATTTTTGCAATTTTCTCCAAAAAATTTAAAATTTTTGCAGTTTTTTCCAAAATATTGAATTTTTTAATGAAATTTCAGTAGGTTTCAGCAAAATTTCAGCTAGATTGAGTACTGTTCTGATAATAAGGATCATTTAATAAAATACTTTTTAAATCAAATTACATCAAATCTTATCGTATTTTGAAATTTTATGCACATCTTACCATTGACTTACCATAAACAAAAAGAACATAGTACCTTGATTACACAATCTACATGTTTTACTCAACAATTACATAACGCGTGCCAAGATTTTTGCGAAAAATCTAGACATTTCTACACTAAATAAAAAAAATACCGTTTATCTAATCATTCTCTTACCATCACACTGAAACTTTACCATTCCCTACCTTAATTCATTGGAAAAACCGATTTGCCATCTTATTGAGTTATTAAATCCCTACACCGAATCCTTTTGCATAAGGAAATCTATACCTATCCTTATACATAGGAAATTCGGGCGCTGAAAAAACTTACCATCTGAAATTTACCATCTCAAACCTGCTATACTAATTAGGAAACTTAATCCCTATATTAATACAAAAGAAATCTATTCCTTATCCTAATACATAGGTTGATGAGCGGATGCTTTTTTCCCTATTTTTAAACATAGGGGTCACCAACCACCCCCCTCCCCCCCCCCCCCCCCCACTTCTCCTCACTCTTCTACTAATGAGGGATGTTAAGGGGCTTAGTACACTCCGGAGGGTACTCAAATAACAACTTACTTTGGACGGTTACTTCGGACGGTATCTTAAGCACTTAAATTAGTTCGGAGGGGTCTCAAAAAATCACTATAGAGAGTTATTAAGGGGCTTAACTGACTCCGGAGGGTTGATTCGGAGGGTTGCCAAAAATTGAAAAAATCATGTGTTTTCGCCGGGGTAAAGCCTCAAATTGAATTTTAACTTACTTCAAACAAGTTTACTTGAACCGGTCCAGCTACCGTGCGGAATAAAAATAGAGTTACATAAAATTTCCGTCGCTCGAACGGTTCCCTGAAATTTAGACCCTCCAAACAGATAAAGGCTTATTAAATTTTCTTTTCTGATACTATCAGAATAAAAACGGCTAAGGGTCAGAAAAACGATAAACAACGCCGACTTATTGTATTAAAATTATTCCAATTGGCTTTTCAGTCTCTGAGAAATGATCAAAAACGCGTTAGCTGAATTGGATTTTTTTCACTACCTATATAGGTTCTCAGGGTTTTTTTGCAATTATTTCGGAAAAAGCTGAAAACTTATTTGAAACGAGCGCAGTAGCCCTGTACAGTACTGAATAATCAAAAAACCGGACCAAAATTGGTTTGGAAACAAACATTTTGCCAAAAACTATTGCATTTGCACTCTCCGATTCATTCATTTTCCGATTTTCACGTCTCTATCTCTATCCACGGAGCTATTTGGAGGGTTACTTAAAAACTGTTCTAGTAATTGTGAGTTTTATGCTAGCAAGCTCCTAGCTCTGAAACTATCATCGTTTTACCTCTAAGAAGGCAAAGTTTCAATCCTCAATATAATGAACGAAATTCAGAAGATTAATGAAATATTTGATCGAAAACGTTTTTTTCGCCCATGTCTACCAGTTTTGTTAGGGTCATTGATCTACGGTGTAGCTCACTGCACAGAAGCTTTATATAGTTCGAAAAAGCTCGGATATCCAAAAAATTGGGATTAACTGTTTGGTCAAAAATCGGTAAATATTGACAAAATTAGGGTGTTGTTCGGATCTAAAGTGTAGATAGGTAATATATGATAAGGTAATAACCTATGATTAGTCGTTAATCAAGATTACGCTACCCTCTTTACCACCAAAATACCCGAGTTAAGAACCTTAATTTGGAAATTCGCAATTGATGGAGGGTACAATCGCACCGAGCCAATTGTGTCCCCCACTTCCTAAGTTTACTGAAATAGTACCCGAACGATACTAAAAATGTGCTAACGATACCCAACAGTCATTGTGGATGTTGTCTCAGTGGTCCTCTGTTGCGTCTGGAACACGTCTGGCAGCTTGCCACTGTACCCTCCGGTCACCGGCAAAGTTATCATTAACATGCTTAAAGACTCAAACAACACTCAAGGAAGGGTACCTAACCAAAAACTAATACATTCAATCTTTCGATCAAAAATGTTATCAATCAATCCGAACCAAAACAAATGAAAGATCGGATAACATGTCGTCCGGAAACAATAAATAAACCGTCATTTTTTGTTTTTTAAACTGTTTTCGGTCTTTTTCTGTTTTTTTTTTCCTGTTCATTGTACTTTTTTGTTTTAAAATAAGTTTATTTTTTTCAAAAAGTTTTTCACTATTTTTGTTTGATTTGACGTTTCCTATTCAACTGTTTTTGGTCGCAGAGCTTTGGGATTAGTGGGCTATAGACTTTTCACCTGACGCTCCGACCCCCGAAATTTAATGTCTTAACTAAGTTAAAAAGCTAAGTGTTACCAGGTGGAGGGTCCACACCTTCCGCCTAAAACAAATGCATGACATTAGGGCCTCCTACTCGGGAATACGCCCGGAGCGGAGAGTTCGCCGCTGAAATCTTTGCGGATTGTGATGCTCTATCTCCTTTAACAGGCCCACACTGCAGTGGCATAAAAACGTCTATATAACAATCGCACAATTATTAAATTTTGAAGGAGCGTAGAAAAGCACATATTGACGGCTGGCTGACGTCCGTTGCCTTATTTCTGCTTGTTTACAACCATCTTGACCTCGCCAGTTTTTCTGGTCTTTTGAGGGCTAAGTATTAAGTTACCATTTTTAGGCCAACAGCCAAACGAATTTTGATCAGCTTTCGTTTATCACGAAAAAAACCACATCCCGGATACCCAGACAACGTGATTACTTTGAGAAACACGAGCAAAAAAACACTAATTGAATTTTTTTATTGACAGTTGTATACTAAATCGATTAGAGATGGATTGATTCTTTCCTCGACTCTGACTTTTTATGCTCTGAAATACCCTTCACCTCAATGTCTCTATTGAACGCATAACTCCGGGTTATCTTCAAGTGGTGATTCAGTGTTCCACAGTCAACTTACAAATCGCATCAGAAACTGAAAATTATTCACGTCACCTCAACTCACTGCGTGTCATAAATAGTACCGTACTACAGCTCACTGGTTTCTAAAAGGGTTTAGGAGTCGAGTACCGAGTACTCGGGCCGAGTTCGAGTAATTGCTATTTCGAGTTTCAGTTCGAGTATTAAACCCCTAATTTCGAGTTTCCAAGTTCGAGTATTTAAAGGTGACGAGTAATTCGCCGAAAACTCAAGACGGAAACGTGTTTCTACACAAGAACAGTCCTTGTGTTATAAAAATTTTGTGTTATGCGTTTCTCCAGTTTAATTTTCATGTTAAAAGTGTTTTCATCGTGATCTCCGAAAAATTCAGCATAAAAAGTTACCCTGGGAGATGATCATTTTCGAATTCAGCATAAAAAAATACCCCTAAGTGTCAAGAGAAGAGATAATGGATGAATGTTATTTACATTCGAGTGTTTGAAGGGCGAGTTCGAGTACTTAGGAAAACACTCGACGAGGTTTCGGAGTCGGGTAATTGTTGGTTTCGAGATTCGAGTAGATAAACTTCAGAAGACTGTAAACCATGTGTTCTAGCATTTTCAAAAAATACGCAACATGAGGATTATCCTAGAAAAAAAAAATTATCTGACTACTTACGTCATATCATCGTAATTTTTTTTTGCTTCGTTCACTCATGCTGAAGCACTAGATATAAAAATTAAGAATATCTGTGGCTAGGAAAGGTAATGAGTACCCACCCTCCTCGAGCGAGCGTACCGAATTTTTACGAGGTCGCCACAAAGTGATTGCGTCCTATGCAAATTAAAAACTTCAGACAGGTTTAAAAAGGTTAAAATACTCACTTAAGGCCTGCATAAATAAGTATTGAAAGTTTTCCATTCCAAATTCATTAATCTGAGGTAACAATTTATAACAGTTTTTATTTCTGGTCTCATTAGCCTCAGAGATAAAAGAAAATTTTCTACAATTAAAGGCAAAATAAAATTTCTGTTAACATTTCTTTAAGAACCTATTTTTGCCGCAAAACAGTGTATTTATTTTTATTTTTCGATTTCTTCAAAATCTGTAATGCCAGCAGAACTTCAAGTTTCTCCAACAGTTCTCGCAGCACTTCATTGCTGCTCACTCTGCAATAAATCAGGACCCTTGTTATCTTCATTGCTGCCTTGTTGTTGTTGTTGTTGTTGGGGATTCACAGCACTGCTGTTGGGATTCTTGGTCCCAGCGTCTTCTCTAAAACAATGTCCACTTGTTTCTGCACGTGATACAATCACAGAATAATTGCCACGTGCACGTTGTCATTTCTGAAAATCTCTCGTTTACAAATTTCCACATCGTGTTTAAAATTCTCGTCTTGAGGCCGATTCGTTTATCGATTCGGCCTTGCCATGAGTCAGAATTATTCTAGTAAGCACTTGCTTTCATCTTTCTTCCATATGAGCTAGCAGCCAGTCAGTTCCATCCTTGTTTCGAAACTACGAATCTAGTAGACACATGGAGAACAGCTCTTCAGCGTCCCAGATCAGTAGCAGACTACTAGTACCGGGGTACTCTCAATTCAATAGCAGGCAGTAACAATGGTACTTGGCAAGATTTGTCATGATACTTCCCAGTTGCGACATGCCGACCCCTCTAGCAGTGGTTTCAATTCCATCATCACCCGATAGATTTCATCAATTTGATTAAGTGAATTATGATCCCTAGCTACGAACCTTTTCATTTAGGGGTAATCAAAGTCACTGAACTTGCCTCTTTAGAAGCACCTTTAATTTTTCCTTGAAGTATCGCTTTTCAATTGTTCTCCTTCAATTTTTAAAGAAATGCAGCATCATAGTTGGTGAAAATTTAAGGAAATTCTGTCAAAGTTAAAATAGTGGCTTGGAGAAGGGTTGATTAACTAAGTTTCCTTAGTTTTTTGCATTGACAGTCTCAAAACAAACTGGCTAACATCTGCTACAAAGAGGAGCTTTATTCGACTTTGCGCCGGTTGGCAGCGACGAGCCTCCTTCTGGTTAAGGTTTCAGTGACGTCCCTCAAATTCTCTCATCCTTTCTCTCTTCCATTCAAATGGATCTCAGAAAAACTTGAGTTGCCTCCGGCGGTCCCGAAAATGAAAATCTTGCGTGACATTCCCTGAGAGTATAACACCTTCGAAGGTTACAAGTCACTTTTCGTAAATGACTTGAATTCCCATACAATCACAGTTTAATTGAAAAAATCTTTCACAATATCCAGTGGTTCTTCAACCCGCCATATGGCCCTCATTTCGGTGGCGCTTGGGAGCGCTTGATTCAGATTGCCAAGAGAACAATCCTCATCATTCTTGGATCGCGAAAACTCACACTTGAAGTTTTTCAGACAATTTTAGCCGAAACCGAAATGATACTGAATTCGAGACCCTTGACAATTGTAACTGATTGCCCAGAAAATGACGAGCCACTGACACCAAATCACTTTCTCATTCAACGACCTTTCAGCAGCCTTCCACCAGGAGTATTCGACGACAGCATGCCATTAACCTACACTAAATGGACCCACGTTCAACAGATGATGAACCACCTGTGGAAGCGGTTGAAGAAGGAGTACCTACCTTCACTAATGAAACGCCCCAAGTGGAACGAAACGCAACCACCATTGAAGGTTGGAGACATAGTGTGGGTACTAAAAGACCTCACGCCGCGAGGTATTTGGCCGATTGGACGTGTGGTGGAGGAACATCCAGGAAGAGATGGCACAACACGAGTGGTGACCGTGAGAACGGCTTACGGCACTCTCAACCGCCCCGCTACCGCTCTTGTTAAGGTTTTTTGCAACGCCTTTTTGCGCCGTTTCAGACAATTCGGGGCCCCGGGAGTATGTTGCCGAAGCAACTACATTTTCCCAATCTTTATAAATCAAAAGTCACTGTGATCAAACATTTGTAATCTCTGTGATATAAACACTCTTGAAACAAACCAGAACTAAGAAAGTTGACTCTTGGAG